CAGTATTTCATTCTTCTTTATGGCTGAGTAATATTTCATTATATATGTATCTATAAAGCACATCTTCATCCAGTCATATGTCAATGGACTTTTAGGTTGCTTCTGTCTTGGCTATTATAAATGGTGCCACCATGAACATTGGAGTGCACATATCTTTTCGAACTAGAGTTTTCTCTGAATATATGCTGAGGAGTGGGATTTTTCGTTTTTTAAGGAAACTCCATACTGTTTTCCATAATGCCTGCAACAAACTACATTCTCACCAACAGTGTAGGAGGGTTCCTTTTTGCCCACATCCTCTCCAGTATTTATTATTTGTAGACTTTTTAATCAGAGCCATTCTGGTTGGCGTGATACCTCATTGTAGTTTTGATTTGCATTTCTCTAATAATTAGCGATACTGAGCATGTTTTCATGTCCCTGTTGGCCATTTGTATGTCTTTGAAGAAACGTCTATTTAGGCTTTCTGCTCATTTTTTGATTGGGTTGTTTTTTTGTTTTGTTTTGTTTGGTTTTTAAGCTGTACGAGTTGTTTGTATATTTTGGAAATCAATCTCTTGTCAGTCACATCATTTGTTTTGTTTATGGTTTCCTTTCCTTTGCAAAAGCTTTTAAATTTAACTAGGTCCCATTTGTTTATTTTTGCTTTTATTTACATTACTCTAGGCAATGGATCCAAAAAAATATTGCTGTGATTTATGTTAAAGAGTATTATGCCTATGTTTTCCTCTAGGAGTTTTATAGTGTCTGGTCTTTAGTCCATTTTGTGTTTATTTTTGCATATAGTATTAGGGAATGTTCTAATTTCATTCTTTTATATGACGCAGTCCAGTTTTCCCAGCACCACTTATTGAAGAGATTGCCTTTTCTCCAGTGTATATTCTTGCTGCTTTGTCATAGATTAATTGGCTGTAGGTGCATGAGCGTATTTCTGGGCTCTCTGTTCTGTACCATTGATCTATTTGCCTGTTCTTGTGCCAGTACCATACATCTTGATTATTGTAGCTCTGTAGTATGGTCTGAAACCAGGGAGTGTGATTCCTCCAGCTGTGTTCTTCTTTCTCAAGATTGTTTTGGCTATTTGAGGTCTTCTTTGTTTCCATACAAATTTCAAAACTTTTTGTTCCAGTAAGACCGTAGTGTTTTGGAGCATGGAGTTTCCTGGGCATCTCTGATGTCCCAGGTGAGGCTGGGGAAAAATCTGCCACTGTGCATAGTGGATGCTGCTGGTTCCCCAGCCAAAGCCCTTTCACTGGGCTGCTGCACCCACTTCTTAGCTGCTGTGGGCTGGGCTGCTAACGGCTCTGGACAAACACGAAAGACTGGCTGACACTGGGTACAGAAGGCTTCCCCTTTGCTTCAAAGTGAGACTAACTCAGCGATACAACTCACATTCTCCATGGAATAGGCTAAAGCCAGTCTCCGGTTGAGACCACACTCTTGCTCAGTTTTCCCACCTAGTCTATCCTGCATCCCTCCTCGTCTCTTGAAAGCACTTTGTACAAAAATTGCTCCAACAAGAATCTCAGTCATAGACTCTGTTTCTAGGGAACCAGTCTTGAGACACTGGATTTCAAAGTCAGACAATTCTGGGTTTGTAGCTGGATTCCCCTCATTAACTAAGTGGCTATAGGTGACTTTGGTAAATGTCTCAGTTTCTTTATGTGTTAAACGGCCCACTTGAAGGGTTTGTTGTGGGAATTAAAGGGCCCTGGATAAAAGCCCTCAGCTGAGCTGAGGGTGGGGTAAACTGCCCTGAGCTGCCTTTGATCTTTCCCTGACTTGCCCTTTGGCCCTGGGCATGTTCATGTTTTTGAGCTGTCTGTTTCCTTTGTGGGAACTCCGTGTGTGTCTAACACCAGGCTGCCTCATCAATGACTGGAAGTCAGAAATATTTTTTCAAGTGGTAAAGTACTTGGCAAAATGTACAGCTCAGGCATAAAGCATAATGAGCATTAATTATACAGCCCAGGGTGGAACAGCCCTTGGGAGAGAAGCATCTGGGAGTTCAGAGCCTAGGAGAGATGGGTGGTCCTGCCAGGGCCTTTCCTGGGCCTTTCCTGCCCAAACAGCAGCCCCATAAGCAGGAAGAGCTTGCAAACTGCAACCTGGTCTCCCCAAGTCTGGGGAGCCCAGTAAACTGGAGGCAGAAAAAGGAGGGGAAGAGTTCATGCCTGTGGCCTGTTTCCATGCAGAGTTCCTTCTTGGCTTTGACGTCTGGACTCTGTTGTCACCTCCTCATAGACACCTCTCTGATCAGCCCATTTTAAATACACTCATTGTCCAGTTTTACTGTTTTCTTAACACTTAAGCACCATCCGGCATTAGCCTGCAGAGGTATTTGTCAATGTGCATACTGTTGCTTCTCTGCTAGATCTCTCCGAGGATAGGGGGATCAGTGTATTCTGTGCACTGCACACAGTAGGTCCTTCATAAAACCTTGGTCTCCGAATCCCAGGAATTCTCACACATTGGTGGTGAGAGGTAAATGGGTCCAGTGATTTGGAAATCTCTCTGGCTGTGTTTAAGGAAGCCAAGCATATGCCTTCTTAGGACCCAGCAATTCCACTCCTAGGTATGTATCCACAGAAATGCAAACGTGTCACCAAAAGACACGTTCTAGAATGTTCACACCAGAACTTTCTGTAATAACCACCGAACTGGAAGCCACCCAAATTTTCTTGAAAACAGGTGAACAAATTGTGGTATATCTATACAACGAAATACCAAACAGAAAGGAAAACCTACCAGAGGCAAAAACAGGCATGAATCTCACCAACATAACGACCTGATGTTGAGTGAGAAGGAACGAGACACAAAAGCACACATTGATCACGTGTGAAGCAGGAAAACTGACAAAACCAATCTCAGCGTTAGAAATCAGGACAGAGGTTGCCGCTGAGGTGGTTGGGGGAGTGGTTGGAAGGAGCTGAAGGGGCATCAGGGGTGTTGGGCAGGTTCTGTGTCTCGGTCTGGCGGCTCTGTTTGGCGGCTCTGCACACAAGTACGTACAGTTCGGGAACATTCATCCAGCTGCGCCTTTTATATATACTGCGGACTACAATAAAATTTACATTAAAACAACTGCACGAGGGTCTGCCCAGTAGAGTATGCGAACTCTTAACATTTACTTAAAAAAAAAAGTGCTGGGAGCTTGGAGCCATGGAGTTGGGCGCTCGCTCCGGGGAGGAGGGCCTGGACGCTGCGTTGGCCCTGGCGGTACCCCTCGGCGGCGCTGCGCTCAAGGCTGCCCGACGCGCGCGGAGGAGGGTGAGACCGAGCCTCCAGGGGCCGCAGGGCCGGGCCAGGGGACCCGCGAGCTTCAGGGCAGGACCCCTCCGGGGTGCGCAGCCCGACGAACCGCGCGATTCTCCGCCCTGGAGCGCCCACGAGGCCCCTGTGGGGGCAGCAGCGCCCGCTCCGCCCCGCTCCGCCCCAGGCGCCCTCTGCGCGTCCCCGGGGTTGCCGCGGCCGAGAGCACGGCGCGCTCCTCTCCGCGGGGCCGCGGCCGCTCGGGACGGCTCTCGCCGGGGTCCCGCCGGGGTCCCGGGGAGGGCTCCGGGGTCGCGCGGCGTTTGGGGTGGGCTCGGCCGCGGGAGGGCGGGGCGGCGCCTGTCCCCGATTGACCCCGCGGCGGAGGGAGGGCGGACGCTGGCGGCCGGCAGGGACGGCCCGGGGAGGAGAGGGAGGGAGGGAGGGAAATGGGCGACGGAGTCGGGGCCCCGCGGGCCGGCGCCTCGTGGGGAGAGGGTGGGACGTCCGCCGAGCCCAGAATCCGGGCGCGGGAGAGGAGCCTGAGCCTAGGACAGGGGTGCAGTGGGGCCTCGGCAGAGAGCGCCCCTCCTCCCCATTCCAGGACTGGGCCGGGGGGCGCGGGACTGGGGCACTCCCGGGCTCCGGACCTAGGGGCGGGAGAGAGAAAGGAGGCCCCGGGAGCTCAGGAGCCCTGAGCGAGGAAGGGGTGGGCAGGGGAGGGGAAAAGCGGCCCGAGAGTCGGGAAGTGGGGGATGGGTGTCAGAAAAGACTGGCGACAGTCACGCGGAGACTCTGAGTCGCCAAGTTTCGCTTTAATGCCCCTGGGCTTTAGAAACCAGCGGCTGGTAGCGCGTGAGCGGCGTCTGCTCTGGCGATCTGCTGTTTTTGGAGGCCTGATGTCAACCGGGCGCTTCCAGCCTGGCTGGTGATTTGTATCCCCACCATCTCCCCGTACCTGCCTACCGTTACCTGGTCACTAGGCCTTTGCACTGGCCGGCGTTGGGGTGGGGGGTGCCCGAACACGGTGCTGAGAGCCTTCTAGGCTCCGCGCAGGGCGGGCCCTCACCTGTGCTTCAAACTGGGGGCTTCGGCTCTGGGTCGGCAGCGGGGAGCTAGGGGCAGCGGGGGTGGGGAGTTGCTTGAGCTTGAGGGCGGAACAGCAGTACATCCCGAGCTGCTTTCTAAAAAACAGAACTAAGTTTCTCTTCCCTGGGCCCAACTCCCCTCCCCCTCCGCCCCGCCCCCCAACCGAATCCCCCTCTCCGCTGGGGTCAGCGAGAGGGGAGGTACAAAGGCCGGATTGTCCGCAGGGTAGCTGATTCTGCCCCTCACTTTAATTTACAAAGCATCATCAGATGGCCGCTTAATTTCCCAGTCATCACAACGGAAGGAATCCTATTTTGAGTTTTTCTGAAGCGATTTTAATTTTCCTTTGGGCAGCCAGTGATCACTCCTGAAAACGCCAGGGATTAAAAACAAAGGAGAGGGCACAAACTGGAGGGCCACAGACAAAGCAGCTCTTGGCCTCTTAGGGGCCAGTCTCAGCTGGTTCGCAAAGACCAGAAACCTATAAGCATTTTTCGTTCTGAGGAGAAAAAAAAATGAAAAAAGAAAAAAAAAGATTTTACTAACACATCTCTCCCCTATTTTTACCCATTTCCTTTACTTGGTCCTGGTCCTGTTTTTACTTGGCCAAAGAAAGTAATCATCTGCCGGTATTATATACTCAGATTTTCCCCTTAATTACAAGTTAAGAAAAAAAAAAAAAAGAATGTGAAGTGTGGGGGCTCAGTCTCGAAACTATTAGAATGATAGCAGAAAAGAAGGGTACTGGAATGACTTTTGGGAGACCTGGGATCTTTTCTCTACCGCTAATTTGCTTGTCAGGTGACCCGTTTTTCTGCCTCTGTCCTTTCAGTAAGATGTGGGTAAACCACAGGTGACCCCAGCTCGCCAAGCCAGCTTTTCTAAATTTCTTTTGAGGGAGATTCAAAAGCTTGATTCAAATACATTTCCATTAGGTGTATGGCTTAATATTTAATTCTCTCTTGGCTTTAAGCTGAGGAGTAGATGTCTGAACGTACATTTCCTCATCCTAAATCCCTTTTATCCTCTCCTAATGCTCACAGTGCAGTGTTGATGTCTGGCAGGCTTTGTGTTCAGTTTGTACCATTTGCAAACAGAGTGAGAATTATCGTGGAAGAGAGGGAAGGATGGCTGCAGGATTTCTTGGACCTGAGGATCTCACACTTCTCTTAGCATTTTCACTCTAATTAGCACACAACTTTTAAAAGTTGGCCTGAGCACAGCAACACTTTCACACATCCGTACTAAAATCCATGCTAATCTTTCCCATGGGATGTAATTCAATGGAATTGACATTCTAATAAAATACTGGCAAAGACACAATCACAGTTTGCCTGTAATGCGTAATTAAAATAGCACTACGCAGTTGCTTAAACCTCAGATGATGGCTTCCTACATATTGTTGGTTATGAGATTTCAGGGGTTTTCTTCCTGGATGTTAATAGAACATTATAAAGCTACTCTTTTTAGAAAGATGGACTGTGATCTCAGTTTGACATTGCTAGGAATGCACTAACGCCTAAGTGGCTTTCAGATGGGCCTTGGGCAGTTACTTAATGCATCCAAACTTGCCTTCAAATTTGCATTTTCTGGTAACAGCTGATTCACATCATTGGCATAGCCGTACATTGGCTTGAAGACCCTTTGAATCTACCATGTCTGGCATTTGGGAAATCTTAACTTTTCTAAAAGGCTGAAGACAGGAGGATAATGCAGTTCAGATTTTGCTATTTTGTTCCAAAGTATTTTACATTGAATAAGCAACCTTGATTTAGCGTTGTCATGGATGACATGCTACAGAAATACGATGCATACAATGCATAAAAAACATACTTTTTATGTTATTAATTAATCTGTAGTCAAACTGAACAATTCTACCACTGACAGTTTCTGTTTTATGGCCAAGAAGATCTGAAAT